GAGCGGTTCCTGAGGGCTGCTGTGTGTGTGTTTTGGGGACAAGTGTTCAATTTCAGGTGCCGGACATCTGGAAAGCAGAGAAAGAAGCCACCACACGTGCTAGGGTCTTCTGGTTTCCTTTTCTAAGTTTTTAAAACATATTTTTTAGTGAGCCGAGAGTTTGCTGGAAAGCACAGGGTGGTAGAACAGCTGCCCGAGTGATTCCCGCCTTGGGTGATGTTTACGAGGGCGGCATTAGCGGCTCGGGGAAGTTTGGCCTTAGCGCCTGTGCTGGAGCTGGGCGGTCAGAGCCGCTCTGACTGACTCCTGTCCTCGGAAACGGGCCCAGCGTGGCCTCCGGTACCTGGGACTTGCAGGAGAGGTTTCACGGGAGCCTGATGCGAGGGTGGCACAGAAATGAGAGAGAGGGACCTGGGGATGAGAAGTGGCACCAGCTGGGAGAGAGAACTCAGCTCCCAGGTGGTGGGGATGGGCCGGCGGGAGCGGGTGTGGGGAGGGAGAGGACCAGGGGGAGTGGCCCCGGCCCTCCAGCCCCCAAGAAGGGCTGGTAGTGGGGTGGAGGGTGTTTGCACAAGCAAACTCTTTGAAGCTTCTCTCCTGTCCTCCCACTCTGGCCCTGGTCCCCTCCCCTCCATAAAGCCATTAGCTTCTGGTGCCAGCCCTATCTCTGCTCCATCTCTGGGCCCTGTCGGTGCATTCACAGACCTCCTGCCCTGGGGGACGGGGAGGTTTTATGTGGGGGGAGGGCCTCTTCAGAGGAGGCGAGGTCTGTTAGGAAAGCAGGGTGTGGGGTGGTGCCGGCGGCCGCCAGGCCGGATCATTTCCGAGCTGGCTCTGCATGACAAAGGGGCTTTGATCTGCCCCCCACCAGCCCGACACACCTGCCCGCGGGTGCCCCCGCCCCGACGGAGACCTCCCGAAGAAAAGCCCGGAGGGGGTGGGGACAGCTGTGCCCCAGCTCCCCCGGGCCCTGCTCGGCCACCTTCCTGTCCTGGTGGCCCCGGGACAGAGATATCTCCCAGGCTGATGACCCAGAGCCCCTCCCGGAGAGCCAGGAGGCCCTGTGCTGCTCGGTGAGATGGGGGTGGTCTCGGAGTGGGGGGGCGGGGGTTTTGTTGAGGTGGGGTGCTGAGGGGCCCTGGGGGTGTGGTCACGCCCTGGATGGGGGCTCAGGGAGGAGAGGGGGTGGGGTTGCCTTGCCAGAGGCTTTGCTCCAGGGTCCGTCTGTCTCCAGGGGCCCTGGGAAAGCTGTTCTCCGGGAACAGGCAGTCTGATGCAAGGGTGGCAAACGCATCCCTCCTGGAGGGCACAGAGGAGGCATGGGCCACCGAGGGGACACCGCTGGCACAGCCTGGGGGCAGCTTTGACATTTCCCAGAGGAGTTGGCTCGAGAAAGTGAAAAGTCCCTCCCTTCTCCTACTGTCTGTCCCGGTGGACTCGGGCTGGGATTTGGAGAACGCGTTTAGCGGGAGGTGCAGATTGAGAGCGAAGGCTCCTGTTTGGCTGTAGGTAATCAACTCGCCAGGTGTTTTTAGCTCCACGCAACAGATACATCCCTGGGAGGAGCCGATGGGATGGTCCTGTCTCTTTGGACGTTCTGGAAGGCGGGCAGGTGTGCATAGTAGCAGCCAAAGCATCTCCCTAAATGCTGCCCGGAGCGGCTGTGCTCCGGAAATGCCTTGCTTTCCTCCCTTTCCTGGTTTCTCAGTCCCCTGTTTCCTTAAGCAGCGGGTCCCGAGCAGGGCACCCCAGGCTGGAGCGACCCCCAGGGTGAGAAGGGGAGGGTGAGACGGGAGGCTGGGGAGAGATGGACCTTCCCCGGGAAGCAGGCCCTCCTGGTGCCCCTGGTCTGCATCGCACACTGACTGCTCCCTTTGGCCTCTTCTCTCCAGGGAGCCCGTCTCGGAAGCCGTCGGCCCCCGGGGTCTTCCCCGGGCCCTGCGGGGGGCGCGGGCGGACCATGCCCAGCCCGCCTGCCCTGCTCGCTGCTGCTGCTGTGCTGTTCGCCTGCTGGGCCCCGCTTCGGGCCGCGGCCAGCTCCTGGTGGTGAGTGCGGGTTGCAGCCCTCCCAGCCTGACCCCCTGGGCCATAGAAGAGGGGAGAAGGGGCCGTTCCCTTTTCAGCAACCCCAGGAGAACGGGCACAGCTCTTTCTCTCTCGAGCCCCCAGAGTTATGTAAAGGCTCCCTGAGGAGAAAGGATTAGTTCATTTGGCTTTTTCTCTGATCCTGTCCACAGTCGCCTTTCCCTGGAGCTCCTCCGTCTCCATGGGTTGTTAGAAACAGCTCTTTTGTTGCTCTCGGATCAATACGAATGATGATTTTTTTTTTTTTCCTGCTGGTGAGGGCAAGGAGAGTAGGATTCCCAGTTTCTAAGTCTGAAGACCCGATGAGGGCTTTGCAGGAGCGTGTGTGGCTTCCTTTTGTGTGGTTAAGATTACTGTCACTGCCAGGTGGACAGGGGAATGGCAGGCATGCCCCCCGTCCCCTGTTTGGCATGGTCTGTGCTCTGCTCTCATTTTTGCTCAGATGGCAAAACCACAGCCTTCCCCTCTGACTTAGCACCTTATTATATCTGCTAGATGAGCGGGAGAGCCCTATAGGGCAGGGTCAGGGGCCGTGTGGCAGAGAAGGAAGTGCAAACTTTTAGAGTATATGGCCATGTATGTAAATTGGTTTCGATTTTAAAGGCCTAAGGGGAGTTCTGTTGAAAGGAATGGACTGCTTTCCGCACACATCCTGCACTTGGGCCACAGTGGCCTGGCCGCGCCTCCTGCAGAGAAGCGACCTCACGCGCAGCATGCCCACCCGGCAGGCCACTCCGGTCGTCCTCCCTGAAGCCCTCTCCCAGCTCGGAGCACTCCTCCCTGTCTGGTCACTGTGGATCCAGACGCCCAAGGTGGTCTCGGGCATTCGACATCTCACATGTCGCCTGCGTTCGTGCCTCAGTTTCCCTTTGAAGGCAGGAACTCGGTTTTGGGTGACTTTCCTTGCCAAGCCCCCGGCTCAGGGCCTGCCCGCGGAAAACCCCCCTGGGAGGGGGTCAGGTGCGAGAGGCGTGCTGCTGCCCCTGGGCCGCGCTCACTCCCGGCCCTCTTGCTGCAGGTCTTTGGCTATGAACCCGGTGCAGAGGCCTGAGGTGTTCATCATCGGGGCGCAGCCCGTGTGCAGCCAGCTCCCCGGGCTCTCCGCCGGCCAGCGGAAGCTGTGCCAGCTGTACCAGGAGCACATGGCCTACATAGGCGAGGGGGCCAGGACGGGCATCAGGGAGTGCCAGCACCAGTTCCGGCAGCGGCGGTGGAACTGCAGCACCGTGGACGATGCCTCCGTCTTTGGGAGAGTCATGCAGATAGGTGAGCGGGCCGTGGGGCTGGAGCAGCTGTGCTTCCCGGCCTGGGAGCCAGGGCTCCATGGGGACCGGCGTGCAAGGGGGTGGTCTCGGGTGGCGTGCCGGCGCCCAGCCCCGGGGTCAGCTGGCCCTCTGCTTCCCGCCCTGCCCCGAGCAGGCGGCCTAGAGGCGCTCCCTCTGGGCAGGGGGCGGGGGTCTAAGCTGAGTTAGAGCGGATCGGGAAGCCCGCCCACCACGACTGACCCCTGTCTCAGCTCCAGGGCCTCCTCGAGAGCTGTGGGCAGAGCTGAAAATTGCAGCCCTGAGCGTCTGGAGAGTTTTGCCTCTTCCACTTGGACACTGAGAGAGAGAGAAACTTTGGGACAAACTGGCGATGGCTGTCATTAACCCGACCCAGATCCAGTCCTGGCTTTTTCATTTGAAAGGGGATGTGTGTGAAAGTGAGGGCGGGGAGGGGCAGACTGAAGGAGAAAGATGAGAGGGCCACCCCTGCCTGGATTCCCGTCCTGTCCCCTCTCCCACTCCTGGCAGAGGATTCTTCGGCTACCCTGTTGCTTAGATGGAGGTGTGATCTGGGGTCTAATTGTTTTAGGTCCTTTTGAAATGCAATCCTCCCCTCCCTGGCAAGAAATTGAGAAATCCGGCCCTATTCTACTGGTTCTTATCCCCAGGGCCATAAAAGGAAGGTGTTAGAGCACCACGTCCCGGCTCACATTCTCCCCGAACAGCTTGCCCCCGAAAGGCAACATTCTGCAGTTCCCTGAGGCTGCGGTTTCCAGCAGGCCGGGACCAGGGGAGTTAGGGATTCTGCGCCTCTTTTGCGAAGGCCCCGCCCTCTCCCGACCCCTTTCCCCTCCCTCCCTGCCCCACATTGAGAAATGAGGTCCAGGGAAATTACGCTTTGAACGCTGCTTCTCTCTTCTTCCTTCAGCATCAACTCAAGGTCCTTGAAAGGATGCTCATGAGTTCCTGTAACAGTCCTGCCGGGCAACTTTCCCAAAACAGTAGGCCTGGGGGTCAAATGGGATTCGTTCGTAGTTGATCAGTTCTTCTCAGATGCGCTCAGTGCCTGTGTCCCTCCTTCCCGGCGAGTCTTGGTTAGCCACTCTCCTGCCTGCCTGCTGGGTTTCAGGTGAGGGAACTAGGATGGCCCAGGTGTGGGGAGAGGCAGCCCCTAATCACTGGCGGGAACTAGTATTTCCTTGGGACCTAGCGAATGCCTGACGTCGGCCAGATCCTTTTCACGTAATTTTGTTGCGTGAAGGCCCAAAAGTGCGGCTCTGCTTTAGGGAAGGAGACGTGTCGGGAACAGAAACTCCGTGGGGTGCGGGTCTGCGTGGTGGAGTGACCGGCGAAAGCAGACGCTACCAGTCTCCGCCCTACTCTGCTACAAATGGAACCCCTCCGTGTGCCTCCTTCTCACCGTCCCCTTTTGCAGCTTCCCTGCAGGCTTATGCTGCCTGGGAAGCTGTCCTCCCACCTCCCGGTGGGCCCAGGCATTCTGGCGAGTCCTCTCCCCGTGTCTGGCGGGTGGCTTCTGAGACTCCTTCCTTTGAGCCACTGCAAGCGTCCACCGCCAGAGGGCAGCAGAGCGGCCTGGAGGGCACCCGGCCCCTCGCCTGGAGGCCAGGGAGGCCACGGAGGCGGGAGGCTCCTGCGGGTACCTGGGCAGCTGTGGAACAGAGGACGTGATATTGTCCTGCTGTCTCTGTGTCCCAGGAAGATGCACGACGTCTCAGGAGCTCCCTGGCTGCTGGTTTATCAGCCTTTATCCTCTCTGTATTGTTTCACATATAGAGATGCCCCCAGTTCTCTGCTGCTGAGAGCAGCACGAGGTCTGTCCTTAGGCTTCCCTGAGGCCCACGTGCTGCCCCAGGAAGGCAGATCTGCCTGCACTCAGGGCCGAGTGATGCCCCCAACCAAAGGAGACAGAGTGACCACGGGGGATCCTGAGGGGCTTCACCGGGACAGACCGGGATCCAACTACATGGTGGGCTGGACCCTCAGAGCCCTGACGTCTGCAGGATTACGCTCAGCTGCAGGAACGTTATTTTAAAAGGCAATTCTGAGAGGGGCGACTCAGCTCTGCAAAGCGTGTTTGCTAAAGAACGGTGGTGGAAGAAATCAGACATGTAGCTTGGAAAAGAGAAAACATAAAAGGCATATTCGTTGTTTTCAAATCCTGAAGGGCTGTCAAATGGAAGAGGATGAGCTCCAGAAAAGGGAAGTTATAGGGAGGCACCTTTCAGCTTTTACTCAAAGAAAGAACATTCTGGTGATTAGAGTCGTTTTAAAAAGATGGAGTGGGTGGCCTTGGGAAGCCAACCCGATTCTCCAAGGCGTCTTGTAAAAGCGATGCTCACAGCGGGTGGAGTGTAGATCTGGGCCCGGCTTCAGACTCTTCTCCCTGTCCCTGGATGCCAGGCTGGGGGTTGAGCAACTGTTTTAGGGAGACTTCTCAGGCATGAGTCCTTCAGAGGGGTGCCCAGGCCCTCCTCCCTAAGACCCCTTGGCCATCTTACCGTCCTGGGAACTCGCATAGTCTAACTCCCTAGATGCATAGATCCTGTCTCTGGGTGTGGTTCACACTGGCTCACACATCAGTCCTGAGGACTGAATCATGAGTGTGGCTTCCCACGCCACCTGGCTTTTCCTGGTGCTTCTCCTGACCCCTGGTTACTGGAGAAAGACTGACTTGCCCTGTCTGTTCTGGTTGCAAACTTCACTGTGTTGTGCCTAGACCATCCAGAAGTAGGGCCAGGTGCAGTGACTGCAGACTACCTTCCTCACCACCTGCCAAGACAGGATCGTGGGACGGCTACCCCTGACCTTGGAGGCTCAGAAGAGGGGGCGCGTGGGGAGCAGAAGATCCTGCCTGGTTTAATCGCTGAGATCACGACTGAATCTCAGTTCCCTGCTAAGAATGCCTCCCCTCCCTCCGTACCTGAGTCCATACGAGTATTATTTATCGTTTCTCATAACAGCTTTACTGAATGTAATTCATGTGTGGTACAATTCAGCATTTTTTTTTTTTTTTTTTTTTTTTTTTTTTTGTTAGCCCTCGCTCCACTTTCTGGAATAGGTGGGGGTGGATTTTTTTTTTTTTTTTTTTTTGCGGTACAAGGGCCTCTCACTGTTGTGGCCCCTCCCGCTGTGGAGCACAGGCCCCGGACACACAGGCTCAGCGGCCATGGCTCACGGGCCCAGCCGCTCCGCAGCATGTGGGATCCTCCCAGACCGGGGCACGGACCCGCGTCCCCCGCATCGGCAGGCGGACTCCCAACCGCTGCGCCACCAGGGAAGCCCCAGTTCAGCATTTTGAAGTGTAAAGTTCAGTGTATATTCACCAGATTGTGCAACCATCACCACCCTCTAATCTCAGGACATTTTCACAGCCCTATAGAGACACTGCACACCCACAAGTGGTCACTCTCCATCTCTTCTCCCTCTTCCCCAAACCCTAGACAGCACTAATCTTTCTGTCTCTATGAAGTTTCATATCGTGGACCTTTCATATAAACGGGATCATACATGGCCTTTTGTGTCTGTTCAATACAGATACAAAATGCCAAGTGGCTCACTTACCATCATAACTCAAGGTTCAACCATGTTGTAGCCTGTCCACAGCACTTCATTACTTTTTATGGCTGAATAATACTCCATTGCATGGATAATGCCACCTTTTGTTCACCCATTCGTTCGCTGATGGACAATATGAGTTGTTTCCACTTTTTGGGTATTATGAATAATGCTGCGACGAACATTCACGTCCTAGTTTTGCTGTGGACGTATGTTTTCATTTATCTTGGATGTACTCTCAGGAGCGGAATTCCTGGGTCATATGGTAGTTCTACAATTAACCTTTTGAGGAGCTGCCAGACTGTTTTCCAAAGCAGCTGTGCCTTAAAACGTTCCCACCAGCAACACATGAGGGTTCCAGTTTTTCTATATCCTCATCAACTTGTCATTAGTTGCCTTCTTTTTTTTTTTCTTTTTTTTTGCGGTACGCGGGCCTCTCACCGCTGTGGCCTTTCCCGTTGCGGAGCACAGGCTCCGGACGCGCAGGTTCAGCGGCCATGGCTCACGGGCCCAGCTGCTCCGAGGCATGTGGGATCTTCCCGGACCGGGGCACGAACCCGCATCCCCTGCATCGGCAGGCGGACCCCCAACCACTGCGCCACCAGGGAAGCCCTGCCTTTTTGATCGTAGCCGTCCTCGTGGGTGTGAAGTGATGTCTCGCGATTTTGATTCGCGTGTCCCTGGTGGCTGAGTATTGTTTTTTTATCAACGTTTTTCTTGAAGTAGAAAATCCATCATATGGGCTCTTAAGTGGGTCCCTATAGCAATAAAGTACACAGTTTGGATTTTTTTTTTTTTAAGATGTTGGGGATAGGAGTTTTTATTAATTAATTTATTTATTTTGCCGTATTGGGTCTTCATTTCTGTGCGAGGGCTTTCTCTAGTTGTGGCAAGCGGGAGCCACTCTTCATCGTGGTGCGCGGGCCTCTCACTATCGCGGCCTCTCTTGTTGCAGAGCGTGGGCTCCAGACGCGCAGGCTCAGCAGTTGTGGCTCACGGGCCCAGCTGCTCCGCGGCATGTGGGATCCTCCCAGACCAGGGCTCACACCCATGTCCCCTGCATCGGAAGGCAGATCCTCAACCACTGTGCCTCCAGGGAAGCCCGCAGTTTGGATTTTTTACAGGAAATGATCTGGATGTTTAGAAAGACCGTGCTGAGTGACCGTGGAGGTGGTCCCCCAGTGCTGTCGGGTTGGGAGGCAGTGTGGACCTCGGGGGACAGAGGGAAACGGCTCAGACGATTCCGGATGCTGTCATCCTAGTTCATTTCTACTCCTGGTCTCGGCCGCTGTCCAGCTAGATAATGCAGGCGTAAAAAGACAGATGTGTGACTCGTGGAGGGTGAGAAACAGACCTGTGAAGGAGAGGTGTTTGCCAGGATAGAGCTGCACTGTGGGTCCCATGATTTGTGCCCAGTCTCGTTCCGACCGTCCCACCTGTTTCACCAGTGCCTCCATGCCCCGGCTCCCGCCCACTCAGGCCGGCCTCCTAGGAAGGCACAGCCGGGGCGACCTCTCCGGAAGGGATGACGTGCAGGCCGGGGCTGAAGGGGCTCACGGGCAGACGAGTCAACTTCGGTTCCTGGTCCAGGGCGCTTTCTAACCCCGGGGGCCTCGGCAGGGAGAGGTGCCCCGTCCCGGGGTGCGGGCTGGCGGGGCGGCACGGGGCGGGGCCTCACCAGTCTCCTGTGCACCCGCAGGGAGCCGGGAGACGGCCTTCACCTACGCCGTGAGCGCGGCCGGGGTGGTCAACGCCATCAGCCGTGCCTGCCGCGAGGGGGAGCTGTCCACGTGCGGCTGCAGCCGGGCCGCGCGGCCCAAGGACCTGCCCCGGGACTGGCTGTGGGGCGGCTGCGGCGACAACGTGGACTACGGCTACCGCTTCGCCAAGGAGTTCGTGGACGCCCGCGAGCGCGAGAAGAACTTCGCCAAGGGCTCGGAGGAGCAGGGCCGCGTGCTCATGAACCTGCACAACAACGAGGCCGGCCGGAGGGTAAGCGACCCCGCCCCCACGCACACACCTGGACAGGGGGCCCCGCCCACATGCCCACCTGGACAGGGGGCCCTGCCACACACACACCTGGACGGGGGCCCCGCCCACACACATACCTGGACAGGGGGCCCTGCCACACACACACCTGGACAGGGGGCTCCATCCACATGCCCACCTGGACAGGGGGCCCTGCCACACACACACCTGGACAGGGGGCCCCACCCACATGCCCACCTGGACAGGGGGCCCCGCCACACACACACCAGGGCGGAGGGCCCCACACACACACACCTGGACAGGGGGCCCAACCCACATGCCCACCTGGACAGGGGGCCTTGCCACACACACACCTGGACGGAGGGCCCCACACACAAACACCTGGACAGGGGGCCCTGCCACACACACACCTGGACGGAGGGCCGCGCCCACACACACACCTGGATGGAGGGCCCCGCCCACACACACACCCAGATGAAGGACCCCACCCCCGCAGACAACTAGACCATCGGCTATTCCTGGGCTCTGCTGTGCGATGGCAGCTGGTCCAGGAAGGGGTTGAGTCTGACCACAGAGATTCTTAACGATGCTGGCCTAGATTCCCACACTGTGGAACTCATCCTTGATTTCCAAAGGCTCCATTTCCCACGAGACACACGCAGTTGTCACTCTTTTAGCCTTATCTGTTTCTCCACAGGACATCCGTGCCAGTAGGACTTAGGTGCAGTCTCATCATCAGAATTCCAGACACCTCTTGTCTTGACTGCCCCTCCTGTGTCATTTGAACAGCTAGGATGATTGGAAGTTTAGGCCATCAGACCTCGTCTAGGGTTTATGGTTTGTTAGAGGCTCAGGTAAAGCAGAGCTGACTTTTCAGGGCTGCCATCATGCATATCCCGAGACCCAGTCCAAAAGCACACTTCAGTACTGATGGCAAACACACTTGGGTGCTTTAACCTAAGTGGAACTGTGGAAGGCAACCATCCTTTGAAGGCCCAGTCTCATCAATCTCATGTAAGAGGCGAGGGTCTTCTGAGCCTCAATTTCAGTGGAGACTAAAATGTAGGTTTGGGGAGAGCTGGGTTTTTTGTTTGTGCAGAGCACACCTGGGCCAGGGCTCTGGGCTTCCTGCACGGGTGCTGGAGAGCTCGGGCCTCATCTGCCGGCACCTGCTCAGGAAGCCCCCACGTCTGAGCACACGGCCTGCTCCTCTCTCCTGAGCAGGGTCTGCCCCGACGGGGTCTGCCTCTGCTACCGACTGGAGGCCTCGCTCAGCCAGAAGCTCTGTCTTCCACTTCAGGTGTCCACTGTGGATGTGCGTCCAGATGTCCCTGGACAGAGGTCTGAGGCCCGAGTGCTGGGTGGCAGGAGGCCCTCCTGGCGAAGGGCCGGGGCCACGGACCTCTCAGGAAACTACACAGACCTCTCTCTGGGAGAGCTGTCCACACTCAGGTCTGTGTCAAGCCCCGGCTCGGGGCCCAGCAAGGTACTTAGTGAGGCCAAAGATGAGCTAACGATAAAACAGGAGCAGCAGTTTCTGGAGGACAAGTAAATTCAGAAATTTAATGTTGGTTCATTGGTGATTCAGTAACAGGATATGGATATACTTGTAAAAAGTGTTCATATATTAATTCCTTAAAAAATTAACTCATTTCATAGGAGCACATATCAAACAAAGGGGATTGGAAATGCCTTTTCTATGACTTAGCATCCTGTGGTGCTGGTAGAACATGGTACCCGTGTGTAAACCTAGCGCCATCACTAGCGTGACATCAAGTCAAAATTAGAATTGGTCATTGCCCAGCATCTTCCTTGCAGAGCCCACGTCCAGAGGCTAGTTTTGTTTAGCCAGATATGGGTGTTCAGCTGTGACGTGTCAGGAGTTCGGGCCGTCGCTCTGATCTGTGGCTGTTGTGCTATAAATCCGGGTGGAGAGACCAGAACTCTTCTGCTCTGAGGGCATCTGTGGAGCTGCCTCAGTCTCCCACGACTTCCTCTCTGTTTGCCAGTCTTTGGGAGTCTAACCGTGAGAGACTGATTAAAAAAAAAAAAAAAAAGGTTAGGGTCTTCACTTTATCTCCTGAATGCCCAAATTCTACCCATTTTTCGAGATCCCAGTTCAAACACCACATACTCCCGCAATCTTTCCCATCCCCCGTGGCTGGCAGTCTCTGCGTCTGAAGCGCAGTGGAGCCTTGCGGACTTGGCTGAGGTGTTAGACTTTGCTTACTCCAGCTCCTGAGGAGCGGGCTGCCCTGGGACCTCTGCACGTGACAGTGCAGAGAAAATTCCCCGTGGCCTCCTAGCAAGAGGTCAAATTCAGGAAGGCTTTCCTGTCTCTGCTCGGAGCCGAGCCTGGGGCCCCGGGGCAGATGCGGAGGTGCCCAGCCGCTCGTCCTCATCCGGCCCCACTTCTGGCTCCTCATTTCTTCACCCTTAATTGCTTGTTTGCTTTTTCCAGCCCTTATCTCGGCTGCGCCTTCCATCAGCCTGTCCTACCCCCTCCCTGGCTTCGTCTGTCTGCCCCCTGCAGTCTCCTCATCTCTGCACAGCCCTTTATCTCTCCCCGGCCTCCATCTGCTCCAGGTGGGGAGTCTCTGTCCCTCTCTATGTCTTATCCCCCCTCCAAGGAGCAGGCCTCGCCATCAATCACCTCCCACCTCCTGACACCTACGCAGAACCTTCCTCAGGAAGGACTAAGCGGTGGCCGGCATTGAAAATGCCCCAGACCGGTATTTTACAACCAGATCTTTTTAAAGGGTAGGATATCTAGGATCTGACATCTTGACCACAGAGGAAATCTCGGGCATACTTTGCAAGAAATTTCCCTTGGCCTTTGAGAGCCCCTAGTGACCCTGTTTTACAATACTGAAGCCAGGGGCGGTGGGTTGATACTGCCTTGTCACTCAAGGGCCTCTGAGCATTTTCCAGATGAAAGCTGCCTCGTCCTTGTGACATTCCTGCCAGTGACCGAGCTCCGTCACACCGTTAGATGCGGAAGAGGGGCAAGGGACTCTGCCAAGGGGCGAGATGCAGACCTAAGAAAAATTTTAAAACGTTCTCTTGCTTTTTCAGTTCGCGGCAAAAAGGGCCAAAATTACCAACCTCCTTCTCTTGCAAGAGGAGCATATCTATATATTAGCAACAGTAAAATATTTAAAATACAAACATAACCGTCCCTACGGTGTCTTTCTTCCTAGCAGAAGGTAGAATGGACGTCTAAATAGTGAGGGTCAGTGACTCTCTCCCTTCCGGATTTGTTTTACTAAAATTCCTGTCCCTCCCAAATCTCCCTGTGGAGATGCTTATCCACCCCTCACCCCCAGTCACTCAGTGTCGGGTGCACAGTTTTAGGCCCTTAATGTTTCCTCCTTCTTTTAACAGCACCAGCTGCCTGACATCCCTCCCTAAACCAAGGACCATTTCCAAGGAATGTCAGGCTCCAGCGCAGACCCGGGGGATTTGTGCCAGAGGACGATTGTGGGCCCCGTCTTTGAAGTCCCTGTCGGAATGGGGTGTCAGTTCCTTTCTGCCTTTGGCCTGGAGCTGCCAGCCAAGTGCTGGTGCCTTTAACCTTGGGGAGGGGCCTGCCTGCCTTCTCCACCCTAATCCGTTTCTAAGCCCCAAGTCTGGTGAGCAATCCTTCCTGGGTGGCCCTTGCACAGCTTATGGAGCCCCGTGTAGAGCGACAGTTTCTCCACCCTACAATAGTGGGAATAGTTCTGTACCAGAAAAAAATCAGGAAGAGTTTGGACGGGAGTAATACGAGCTGATGCAGCTGAAGCTCTCTCTCGCACCTGCAGTGGTCCCGGCCGCGGTGCCGAATAAAGACGCAATCTGGGGACTCTTGAAAAGAAAGCCGAGAGAAACCCTTGACAGATGAGTCCTGCCTGCGTCGGTGACAATAGCTGTGGCAGAAGAAAATGTTGGGCAGCGGACCTGCATCTTTATCCTGCCATCTGCACTTCTGGGCCGGCTGCCAGGGCTAGTTGACACAATGCATCCGTATGCTTTCGCTGAAAGGCACTTTGTAAGCAGCTTTCTGGTCTGCTCTTGCTTTTCCATTTGGATTTGGGGGAGCCCACGCTCAGGTTCCCTCCCATTTTCGTGGTTCAGTGACTGCTGGGTGGATTTGTTTTCCAAGACCTCCGCCCTAAGATGGACCCACCGGTCTGCACTCCCATCGCAGAGGGCCTGCCCCTCCCCTGCATCACAGCCACTCCCAGGGGGTGTCTTGTCACAATGTGCTATGGTTTATGGTGAGGCTCCAATGACTCTGTAGAGCTAGTGACCAACTGTTAACATAGAAAAAGGGACCGTTTAATTCTTAGGGGACTTGACAGGATTGTGGATAGCTTTCGGCTATAGCCAGGGCCGTGCCAGAGGTCTCTGTTATAGGTTCCCGGTACAGCCGATTCTTTTTTCTGGACTGGGCTCCATATCGTGTAAAAGCTAGACTCATGTTGTTGGTTTTTATTTGTTTGAGACTTTGATCAAGATAGAAATAGCCTTTTTCTGTTGTTTTCCTGCTGGTAATGATGACACATTACTTGTGACGAATTTCAGGTGATAATAAATGGGTAACAAAAAGGGCAAGTGTGCCATCCTGGTAGTGACTCAGACATGGCCGTCACCTCCCCAGAAGTTTTCTATGTGCCGTTCCTTTTATTCACTTTCAAAACCGGCCCTCCGCACACGCACCCTGCCGGCCCTCTCCTGCACTCGCCCTAGCCAGCCTCCGGGCATCGTCCGTCAGGGACGTTCCTTCTCATCCCCTGCTCTCTCCTCCCCCTCTCCCCGCAGGCCGTGTATAAGATGGCAGACGTGGCCTGCAAATGCCACGGCGTCTCGGGGTCCTGCAGCCTCAAGACCTGCTGGCTGCAGCTGGCGGAGTTCCGCAAGGTGGGGGACCAGCTGAAGGAGAGGTATGACAGCGCGGCTGCCATGCGCATCTCCCGCCGCGGCAAGCTGGAGCTGGTCAACAGCCGCTTCAAGCAGCCCACCCCCGAGGACCTGGTCTACGTGGACCCCAGCCCGGACTACTGCCTGCGCGACCAGAGCACGGGCTCGCTGGGCACGCAGGGCCGCCTGTGCAACAAGACATCCGAGGGCCTGGACGGCTGCGCGCTCATGTGCTGCGGCCGCGGCTACGACCAGTTCAAGAGCGTGCAGACCGAGCGCTGCCACTGCAAGTTCCACTGGTGCTGCTTTGTCCGCTGCAAGAAGTGCACGCAGGTCGTGGACCAGTTCGTCTGCAAGTAGCCAGGGCCGCTCTCCTGTGCTCCACCGCGCTGCCGCACAGAGTCTATAGGATATAAATCTATATAGATCTATTTTATATTTGTATAAAGAAAAGGATGGATGGTAAATAATTGAAGGAAGAAAACGGAAAGGAAAAGCCTATTTAAGAGACGCTGGAAATCTTGGAGGATTGGATTTTGCTGCTTCTCTGCTCCCAGTGGGTGGGAAAAGGGCTCTGTCCCCGCCTCTGGTGGGGACTCTCAAGAGGTAGGGACTTGGGAATGTTCCCTGTCTACCCACCGCGGCCTTGAGGACAGAGGTGGTGCTTGGAGGGGGAACTTGGTGATGTCTGGAGTCTTTGCTGGGTGGGTGACTGCCCTGCGACCCTGGCCTCTGGGCCAGGCGGCCCCGTGGAGTGGCGGGAACCCAGCCTCACGCCTGGCATCTTCTGGGTCTCGTCCAGAGCACCGACTGGTTCCGTGAGAGGCCCAGTGCCTCCTTGCACTTTCGTCCGTGTGCGTACTTGCAGAATCCACAGTTACAGGAAAGAGGACGGGCCCCACGCCGTCTCTGGGGACCAAAGGGGGACAGCTCCTCCCCAGACTCCGGGGCCTGCCTTTCCAGCGAGAATTACTTTTCCTCTGCGATTCACTGGCTCCTGCACCAGGAGGGAGGGGTCGTTTGACCTGATGTGTCAGGAAAGACATGGACTCTCTGTGCCCGAGCCGCAGAAAGCCAGGTGGTGACTGGCGAGGGCAGATGGCACCGTGCTCCCGCGCAGGGAGCGGACGCTCTGATGCTTCTGGCGGCCCTCCCCGTTGCGGGAAGCTGGGGCAGGTGCGGCCATGCTCGGCCGGCCTGTTGCGGGCTCTTCACCTGTGCCTCACATGTAGTTTCCCTCTGACATTAAACACCCTCCAATGAAGTTTCTCTTTCCTTACTTGGACACACGGTTATGTTTCATGGGTCCTTTTATTTTCGATCTGATCCTTGGAACCCTGCTACACGGTGCATGCACGGAAGAGGGCAAGAGAATGGAGACGTTTCAGAGCCCTAGTCTGGTGTTACAGGGACAGGGGGACATCGCGAGAATTCATAAGGTGACACGTGCGTGCGTGCCTTCTCCCCAAGGGCAACACAGAGTTAAATGATGGCCGTTAACATCACTGCTCTGAACAGAATTCAGAGAGTTTGGGTTAAACGTCACGTTTACCTCCTCTTCCCATCTTCCCCATTTTACCTCCCACCAGTCTTCCTGGGCTCTTGGTGACCACAGGCGTTGGGGATGCCCTCTGCTGGCTTCTCCGTGTTGCCATGTCCGGTTTTGGGGCCAGAACTTCAGTTTTGGAGTATCTGCGACAGGAGAGAATAAGGCAGAGCTCAGGCACCCTAGAAAAGGCGGGAGTTTCTGGGAGGGACACTGAGACAGGCAGTCCAGCGAGCCAGAAGCCACAAAAGACACCAGTTTTACGTTAGAAAAGTTTGTTCCTGGGGAAGTGATGGGATTACGGAATTAACTTGGATATAATGAGCAAATGATGCTGCAGAACAGTGTAAAAGAGATTCTGCCCGAGGGTATCCACGGTCCCATATCCTGCTGTGTCTTTAGGACCTAAAGAAGAACCTCCTGACCTGACAGCGAGGAACGTCCGACGTAGGGCTATGTTCCCTGTAACTGTTCCTCACACGGTTACTCAGATTGGTCGACATATTCAAGAGGAATGGTCCATGAGAGAAAGTGTTTAAACCAACTGGCCTACAAAAGATCAAAAGCGTGTCCTTGGCTTCAGTCGCTGGCATTTAACCAAATAAACCAACCAGTCACCCAAATCGACCGTGACGGTCAGGGTTTTGAAACACTGGCTGGCTTCATTGCCCTTGCCTACATCACTGGTCCACAGACCCCGAGAGTTACCTTGTATCAGGTGCTCTGAGTGTTTAAGAGCTGAGACCCAGTTCATCCTCAGACATTTCAGAAAGTTAGTTGGGAGTGACTTGCCCAGAATCCCAAAAAGTGGCCCCGTGTTCACAAAGGGAGATGGCTCACCCCTGTCACGCCGAGCTTATTCCTGCAGAGTCCTGGCAAGGGAATGGGCGAATAGCCAATGTTTTCCTTCCAACTGGGGAGCAGGTTGTATGTTCAAACACCCATGTGATTGTTGCAGCCGCTGACAACCAGGTCTCGGGATTATTTAATTTTCAAAACGGGTTGGGATGAAGTTAGAGTTATTGTCACACGCTTGTGGGATCCTGGTGAATTGGCAGCTGCCTGTGGCGTGGCCAGTGAGGCAGTGGGAAGTGGGTGGAGAATGTGGAGGCCGCCCTAGAAAACTGAGCTTCTGGGGACTTCCCTGGCGGTCCACTGGTTAGGACGCCGCACTTCCACTGCCAGGGGCCAGGGTTCGATCTCTGGTCGGGGAACTAAGATCCCGCAAGCTTGTGCGGCGAAGCAAAAAAAAAAAAAAAAAAAAAAAGCTTCTGCTCAGAACCATAGACTGTTTGAGCAGAGAGTGTGGCAGTCAGACCCCCAGCTCCTGTGTGTCCAGATGAGGACCTCCAAATCATGAGCAGGTCCTAAACCTTAGTGTGCTGTGAAAATGCGGAGTCCTAGACCTGCAACGCCAGAAATTTTTATTCACTTGGTCTGGGGTGGGTGGAGCTAGGACCACTGTCCACACCCTCATCAAGGACCTGAGGGAACCCTGCGCTGGTGGTCCAGAGACTCTACTGGACCCCCAGGCATTGAGAGCTAGCCCAGGACGCACAGGGAGACAGGCAGCTGGGCCCTAATTCCCAACCTGGTGCTCTTGGCAACACTGTGCAGAATTCCCTGGCACCTGAAATGTATTAACGTGTAGCCTAATTGAATTAATGAAATGCCTGGACCAAGCAGCCGTCCCAGGGAGACTTTCTTTTTTTCTTTTTTTCTTTTTTGGCTGTGCCACAGCAGCTTGTGGGATCTTAGTTCCCTGACCAGGGGTTGAACCCGGGCCATGGCAATGAAAGCACCGAGTTCTAACCACTGGACTGCCAGGGAATTCCCCAGGGAGACTTTTTGATGCGAGGGGAAAGAACCGATCTGCCCTGGGATCTTCCACCCGGGACTGGGGGGGAGCCTACAGATCCACTATGAATACAATAAGGTGTTATTTACTTAGCTCTGTCTGCAGGCATTCACCTTGTCTTCAAGATGAAATTCGGAGAAAGGCACGCCTGACTGCCTCCACTTAAAGTAGATGGGAGGGTGGGAGGACAGCCACAGCTGGGGTCAAGATGAGGCCAGCCCTCCACTCACAAAGGCTTTGTGACCAGAGTCTAGGAACTGAATTCGAAGTCCTAGTTTGGAGAATGCATTTCGGTGTCATCCACGCTCCATCCTTTGAGCTGAGAAGCAAAACTTGCTACTTGTATTAAATCCCCAAGTTGGTTATTTCCTCTGAAGTTCTGCCCTGCTTCTTCCCTTAAATCATTATTATTTTAGGGACTTCCCTGGTGGTCCAGTGGTTAGGACTCTGCACTTCCACTGCAGCGGGCATGGGTTCAATCCCTGGTCAGGGAACTATGATCTCTCATGCCGCGCGGCCAAATATATATATATATATATATATATATATATATATAATTTTATTTAAGCTTTGTTATCCCTAGAGCTCTGGGCCCATAGCAAGACATCTGTGCTTGAAATTTCTCCACGAGACAACGATCTTCCAGCTCCAGTGATTTATCAAGAAAGAAGCCCATTTCTTGGGAGGAGGGCCGCACTGTCCCAAGAAGGTGGGAAAAGTCCTCATTTCCATCTTAAAACGGGCTCTGACGCATTGCCAGACCCCCACTGACCCTGGTCACATGTATTTTGGGACCTCAGTGTGTGCGCGCGCGCGCGTGCGCTTGTACACGCCCATGCCCACCATGTCCACAGGAATGAACGCTTTCATTAGTTTTGGAGGGGAGTTAGGCACTGGAGACATGGAATATGTAAAAGAAATAAATAAAAGTAACTGTCACCACTTCTGGCTGAGACGCTGCAGAACATGGATTGTCTGCCTTTATTGGAAACCCCCGCCCTCTGGTTGGGAGGACAAGCTTCACGTCTCTGGAAGAAGCCTGGCGGGCTGAGAAGGACACCCCCACCCTCCCGCCCCACCAGCGGTGGTTGCTAAGTATTATTGTGAGTCCTTTGTTATGTAAGAATCTGCACTGTAGTTATACCCAAACAATAAGGAAAGGTGCTTTAATTCCTGATTTTACATAAGAATGCCGGGTAATTTGCCCCTAAGTAAGAAGGTTTGGCCCAGGTATGAGGTCAGATGTTCGGTGCTTGGAAGAGCCTTCACACAGTGGATTTTCACGCTCTGCTTTCTCCCCTGCCGCCTGTCCTTTGCTCTTTGCTCTGTCCATTTGCAGCTCTGTCCATTTGCAGCTCTGCCCGAGGCGGCAACAGAAGATAGAACCAAATCAGTTAACTGGGGCTTCCTGAGTAGTTTTCATAAATAACAGAGTGGGAGAAGAGGTGGCTGAAATTAGGTTTTTAAACGATGTGCAAATTTAACTTGTCACTTACGTGTATTTCTACTGCTCCCCAGGATAACTGGAAATAGCCTTAAAGCTGCCACAGCCAAAGCAGGTAGGAAACTGCAGTACAGAGAGAGCTGGCCCGAGGGTGGGCCCTGTCAGCAAACCATCAGAAGGGGCTGCCGCAGCTGCTCCAAGATGTATAAGAAAAGACAACTATAGAAAGTTGCCCTCTCTAGGGACTTCCCTGGTGGCACAGTGGCTAAGACTCTGCTTTCCCAAAGCACAGGGCCCAGGTTCGATCCCTGGTCAGGGAACCAGACCCCACATGCCACAACTAAGAAGCCCGTGTGCCGCAACTAAAAGTAAGATCCTGTGTGCTGCAATGAAAACAGCCTAAATAAATAAATGCTTTTTTTTTTAACATCTTTATTGGAGTATAATTGCTTTACAATGGTGTGTCAGTTTCTGCTTTATAACAAAGTGAATCAGCTATACGTATACATATGTTCCCATATCTCTTCCTTCTTGTGTCTCCCTCCCTCCCACTCTCCCTATCCCACCCCTCTAGGTGGTCACAAAGCACCGAGCTGATCTCCCTGTGCTATGCGGCTGCTTCCCATTTACGTTTGGTAGTGTATATATGTCCATGCCACTCTCTCACTTTGTCACAGCTTACCCTTCCCCCTCCCCATATCCTCAAGTCCATTCTCTAGTAGGTCTGTGTTTTTATTCCTGTCTTACCCCTAGGTTCTTCATGACATTTTTTTTCTTAAATTCCATATATATGTGCAGCCTAAATAAATAAATACTTTTTAAAAGTATATAGAAAAGAAAGCTGCATCCTTTAAACCAATTTTATTTGAAAGCCAAAAGGGATGTGATTGTTTCAAGGGGCCCGGCCCTCTAGCATGCTTTCTAGGACTGGGGGCTGTGCTCTGTCTGTTGGGTCAACCAGCCCTTTGGCTA